CAGTGGGGCTGCTCTCCAAGATCCAATGATACTAACTCTGAAAATTAGGGTGGATAATGATTTTTAAAGTGTTTGTGGTGTTCTAAAACATTTGTGCAATATACCTTCCTATTTAAATATGATTGCATCTATTGAACCTGCTTTCATTCTGAATGAATACAGTTTCCTTAGATTTTACTTCATTGGATTCTATCCATTTATTAAAATACTCTGTTAGCATGTGCATTTCTTACTTTGCAAAAGCAAGTTTTCTGTATGGGAAGAAAATCACAAACTAAACCTAAGTGCATAACGCTGGTTTATAAAGCAGAATAGATGTACTCTTAGAATTAATCAGAATATATCTGCTTTTTTCACTGTCAGAACCAAGCCATCAATCTATTTTGCTTTTGTAAAACTCCATTTAGAATTTTCCCGTAGTTATTTTAATCTGTGGTGTTACTCTTTACAATAAATCCCAGTGTATTTTCTGATTCCTGTTCTATTTAATTCCTATCAGAAGAGAATTTCCAATTTAAATATATATCTGATAGGATTTGGCACAGCTTTAACAGACACATACATTACCTAGACACTGACTTCCCTACTCTGTAAGATGTTCAATATTTAAAAAACATGCTACTTTATGCAAATATTTTATTTTGACCTTTTGTTTTGGAATAATGCATTTTCTCCAATTTCATATATCCATAACAATAAACAGGAAATTTAAGATAGATTTTGATAAAAGCATAAAAACTAAATTGTTTTTCTACACCAAAAATGTTGTGAGAATAAGAGAGTGCTGAACTAAGACTATAGAAACTCTATCTTCAGATCACGGACCAATAATGAAGCTCACCTCCAGTCACTTAATCTGCAATAAATAGAATTGAATTAAATCACTCTCTACTTTATAGGAAGTTAAATAGAGTGAGGAAGAGTCACTATAAGAACAATTGCACTGAAGGGCATGATAAAAAAATGATTAAATAAAAACAAGAAAGTGCTCCTCATACTATTTCTGCATTTGTTATGCATGTCCCACAAACAATAATAATGTATTTATTTATCTATCTATCTGTCTGTCTGTCTGTTTGTCTGTCTGTCTGTCTGTCTATCTATCAAATTTAAATGCCACCCATCTCACTCTGAAAAGTAATGTTGTTAATCAATCTTATATCAGCTTGTCAATCCAGTGCAGTATGAAGTTTTTTTCATTGAATGGAACTTTATTTGCTCTATTAGTCCAGTACAGAGGGGTTTTTAACTTCCCAGTCTAGGGATCAGAAAGTGAAGTACCAGCCCAAAGCTACCTAGCTGGGTCCCACCACTCCTAATCAAGCACCTTAACCACTATACCTTACTGGCTCTTGTGAAATAACAACAACAACAACAACAACAACAACAACAACAATAATAATAATAATAATAATAATAATAATAATAGAGTTGGAAGGGATCTTGGAGGTCATCTAGTCCAACCCCCTGCTCAGACAGGAAACCCTATACCATTTCAGATAAATGGCAGTCCAGTGTCTTCTTAAAAACTTCCAGTGTTGGAGCATTCACCACTTCTGGATGCAGGTTGTTCCACTTATTAATTGTTCTAACTGTCAGGAAATTTCTCCTTAGTTCTAGATTATAATGTATGAATGGACACAAAATCTTGGAGTTGCTACTTTAACTAAAGAAGAGAAACAGGACATTGTAGCATACAGAGTGCACAGAGAGATGTAATACATAAAAAGGGAAACTCTTGGGAAGAATTTGATTCTTCTTTTTTTCAGTAATTTTAATACCTGCATCTGTTAAAACATTAGATTTAGAGAAAGATTCAAAGTGGATTTCATGGCCTTCTCTTCCATTGAAATCCACTGGCTAAGGTATATAATAATAATAATAATAATAATGATGATGATGATGATGATGATGATGATGATGATGATGATGATAATCCCCCAGTGAGGCACTACCTTGATGTGGTTGTGGGGCTTATGTACTCTGAGGAAGATGAGAGCTATGCCAGAGGTTCAACCATACTGGACAGGTCTCATCAGAGGAGTCAGACAAAGAGTGTCTCTCCCATAAAAAAATATGGTGAGACATAAATTTCAGAATGCCATACTGGCTCGGACGTCGCCCGGGTTAACAAGGTCCGCGCTAGATATTGGAGTTCCTGGATATCTGGTGAAAAATGGGTTACAGGACTCAGGACTGTTGGCTGAGCAACCAGGGCCAGCAGCTGCAGAATTACTGGAAGAAAAGGTATTTACCCGTTGCAGATACACAGTGATTGAAAAAAAAGAAACAATGATCTGTTACTACAGATCAAGTCCAACAAGAAGAGGATATCTAAAACGAACGCACCAGTTCTGGGAAGAACAACATCCAGAATCAGAAATAACAGAACAGAGACTAGCAGATCAACGCAGATTTATAATACGAAATAAAATGAATTTATTAAACATAACCTGGCGCTTTTTTCAGGTTTATTTTAAAGTCAAATGGTTCTCCTGCTTTGGGCTGCTCTTGTATGTGTCTTTGTAACTCTTCCGGTCTTGTGAGAAGAGAACAACATCATCTACAAATCTTAAGTGATTTAAATAGGTCCCATTGATTTTTATTCCATCTTTTACCCAGTCTAGTTTGTGAGACACTTTTTCAAGGCAGGTTGAGAAAAGGATAGGTGATATTGTATGACTTCATCATACACCTCTTCTATGTATAGTCCCATTTATTATCTTTGGAGATTCTCAGTCATCCACGTCATAGTTATCCCAAAGATGCTTTTTCACAAGGCAACTCGACTTTCTTGTTTGTCTTTAAAGACATTTCGCTTCTCATCCAAGAAGCTTCTTCAGAAAAACAAGAAAGTCCAGTTGCCTTGTGAAAAAGCATCTTTGGGATCCTATTTATTATATTTAATAAAAGCATTGTTCAACAAATGACATGTTCCTTCATGTTACTTATTTATAAATATTGTGTTCACAAAATTTAGATCCTTCAAAATTATTTCTGCTGTCAGTTATTTTCAGTGTTTTATGAATAAAATATTAACAGGAATGCAATTTATTAAACACAAACTACAACACACCATGTATACAAACAATATACAATTAAAATATATTCCAAAATATGTGCCCATAGTGAGCAACAGAACATACATATATTGTACAGATGAATTGTTAGTGGGCCACATGGAATTATGTCACTATTAAGGTGACCAACCATCCTCCTTTACGGAGGACAGTCCTCCTTTTGTGAGTTCTGACCTCCCTCGAAAAGTGTCCTCCTAAATGTCCTCTTTTTCTATATTTGAAGACTAATCTGCAGGGCTTTTTTTCCCTCACAGAATGCTCAGAAGGCATTCCGGGACCTTTTTTTGATGTTTTTTTCAACTTTTGCATGAGCTGTGCTACTCCCCCTATTGGCTTTTGAAAGCCAATAGGAATTGCTGCTGAGCACGCCAAAACATCCGGCCAGCAAACTTTGCATGTGCAAGTTGCAGGAACCTTGCACCCCTCACTGCTACCCAACTACACCATCTCCTACTTAGTTCCAAAGATAGCTGGAGGAGACTGGAGTGGTAAGTTTCTCTTGATCTTCCCTGTTCTATTCTACATGGGGATGCACAGGGTAGGCAGTAGTGCTGGGGGGGTGGCTGCAGGGCCAGAGCCAGCATGGCTGGTGCTTTGTGAGCTGTGGGGCCGGCTCTATGGGGATGCGCAGGGTGGGCAGTGGTGCTGGGGGTGGCTGGGGGGGCAGCTGCAGGGCCAGAGCCGGGGCAGCTGGTGCTTTGCCTTTGAGAGCCACGGGACCGGCTCTACAGGGATGCGCAGGGTGGGCGGTGGTGCTGGGGGGCAGCTGGGAGGGGCAGCTGCAGGGCCAGAGCTGGCGTGGCTGGTGCTTTACCTTTGTGAGCCACAGGTCCGGCTCTATGGGGATGTGCAGGGTGGGCGGTGGTGCTGGGGGCGGCTGCAGGGCCGGAGCTGGCTCGGCTGCTGCTTTGCGAGCCGTGGGGCCGGCTCTCCATGGCAGGGCAGTGGTGCTGGTGGGGCGGCTATGGGCGGGGGCGCGGCGGGCAGTTGACCTTTCATGGGCCGCACCATCTGGTGGTCTATGCAGTGCTGACCTGCGCTGCCACTACCTCGCCCTGCGCACCTACTTGGCCGTCCTGAAGCGCCTGGCTCACAACACCTGCCTATACCGCCCACGCAATCCAGCCATGTAGATTTTTGGACAAGTGAGAAATCGAGATTGAATGTTGATACTCTAGCTGCAGCACTTGCCATAAAATTCAATATGAAGGATATTTCTTTTTCAGATATTTCCAATATATTGTTAGAAGATGATACATTGACAAAAAATATTCATTCAACGGAAAAGTACTCATTTAAATAATTAATAGGCATGTAAGCATAATTACAATATAAAATGTTATTGTTACAAATGTTTTTATTATACATTTATCATATTATAGTGTATTCTGTATTATTGTTTCAATAAATACAATGTTTTTTTTATTTACGATATTTTTTTCTTCAATTTATTCGTGTCCTCCTTTTCGTTGTAAAAAAGTTGGTCACCTTATCACTATGCCAAAAATTGTTCTGAACTAGGCTGTAATTTTTTCTTTGACTAGACTACTGAATATCTCATGCATAGCAGTGATTGCCATATTAGACAAAACCCATCTGCCAGTTTGCTGGACCTCATTGCATTCTGGATCTGGGGAGCCTTTTATTTTCAGACAAACACAGAACACCATTTTCCCAGAACACCATTTTTAGGGAACAGGTGGGACCCAGGCTTTCCCAAGAAGGTCCCTGAAGGGATAAGATTTCAGGGCAGCGTCTATTAAGATAAGACACACTGCCATGCTAAAGAATTCCATGTGTTATTACTTCCTCTTCTTTAAAGCTTGCATGAAGAGTGAAATAAGTTTATTGGGGCCTTTCTCTGGACTGTTAAGTATTAACCATAACTTGAAAAGATAAATGAACCAATTCATCTTGCAGGTAAATGTTGCTGTTTGTTGCAAGCAGCATATAATGGTTTTCTACTGTTATGCGGGAGCTTCCAGATGTGGTTGACTACAATTCCCAGAATACCCAGCCATCGTAATCATTCCCTGTGCTAGCTGGCTTCTGATAGCTGCAGTTCAACACATCTGGAGAATATCAGGTAGGGAAAGTTGTTCCATTATTTTAACAGATCCTGACAATTATTGTTTTATATTTAGTTATATAATTGCTCTTTCCTGGCTTCCTTTTTCTAGCCTCCATTATCTTCTTTTTTTTTTCAAATAGTGAACTATTATTTATGCTGCCAGATCAAGAAGCTGAAACCATGATAGCAGGTTGGAAAGGTTTCCCGTGTGTCTGAGGAGGGTTTTTTTGTTGTTGTTGTTCATCCACAAGACACATGGGAGGAAATTGTCTAATAAATACGTGGAGATCAAAAGGCTATAAATCTGGTGTGCAGGTGCTATCCATTTAAACCTCAGGAACAACTACCTAAAACCTGGGAGTACAAAGAAATAACTTTGTAACTGAAAAGGAATATGTGGGTCTGCCTAGAGATAAATTATGATGGAAATATAGGGGCTCGGCTTGATATGTATCAGAAACTGACAAAAAATATGAATATAAACTTTTCTGGCATAAAACTGATGGTGAAATTTGGTCCAGGTCCTATTCTGCCTTTTATTTTGAGCTTAGGGTTAACAAGGTTGCATACTGAGGGGGGTTTGAAAGGGTAGACTCCAGATGTCATCTTTAAAAAACAACAACAATCCTAGTTAACCCCAACTGAGAATGTTCTTAATCAATATAATCTACGTATTTCAGGGCCATCTCAGCCTTACTTCCATTTAACCTAGGCATTCTCTGTGCCAGGAGTTGGGAGGCTGTTTTTTCCTGACTGTATTTGTGTTACAGCTTTATTCATATTCAAAGGAAGTGCCCCAGGTCAGAGAGTGTTCAGCTAGTAACCCCAAGGTCAGGTTTAATTGCCCTAAAAGGTGGCACATGTTAGTGAATGATCTCTAATGATTTAGAGCATGTATCTTTTTCACATCAAGACGTTTGGACTCTGAGGAGACGTCATTGAAAGTAATCTGAAAATTAGTGAAAATAAAAACCATGCCCACTAGTTACCTAAATACCTATTTCCTTTCATTTTATGCCCTGAATGACCTTGTGGCGGCGGCGGGGGGGGGTACGTTACATCTTTTTGTTTGTTTGTTTGTTTCCACTAATATGCAATTACCTGAAAGAAATGAGAGAACTCATTATCAGACTGTGACATGGCAAATATTATTGTTGCAATTAAATGTCACCTAAAAAGGAAAGGGGGAAAGGTTTTCCCAAGATTAAAAAAAAAAGTTCAACAATTCTAAATTGGATTTCTATGGAAAGTCTTCTCCTGCAGTAGAACATGTAGACTGATATGGGTTTTTTTTTTGACCTATTTAAAAAGGATGCTATAAGAATAGATGCCCCACCCAAAAAAGTCAATTGGAAAATGATGAGATTTATAAGGTGACCATAGTATCTTTATTGCAAACAGGATAGAAATAACTCTTCTGGTAAAAATGGAGTGTCCTATATCCAACTTACTCTTATTAAATTTGTTTGCCACCCATCTTGCTGCAAAAAGATTCCTCTAAATTCTTGATGCTTAAAGGTATGCGTGTTTATCTTTTTTTATTAGAGAACTGGAAGAATTTATCTGTTACTCCAGGGTGTGACATTATCAATATATGGGTGATATCCAACAGTATATCAGTATCCTGGATCATATCACTGAAGCAGCTGATGTCTTGCCTGGTATTGGAAGCTGCAAGGATCCGGATGGAGTGATAAGAGCTGAAGTTGAACCCAAGAAGGCAGAGTTTCTATTTGCTTCCTTGGATAAATATTTGCTCCTTCTTTGGTTGTGTGACTCATGTCTCATTTCACCTTATCCTCCCTTGAGGGAAAAAGTCCACAATTTAGAGATTTTCTTGTACATACAGCTACTGTTGCTTGGACATGATAAGGTGGTCCTTTGCCAAACTCCAGCTAGTGAACCAATTCTGGCTCGATCTTAAAACAGTAACTCATGTTTTAGTCATTTGGGCCTAGAGTATTGCAATATGCTCTCCATGGAATTGTCTTTGAGGACCACATAGAAAAAGTAAAATTAAATCAGGTATATCCTACTTCTATACATCAATGAGTTTTGTTTTTTCACAAGGCTTGGGAGGGAGCAAGGAGGGGGGGGGAATAAAAAAGAAGTAAATCTGGCTATTTCAAAATGTGTAATATGTTTTTTAAAGGACCTTGTCCCTTGAGTGTTAAGAAGAGGCTTGAGGTAATAACTTGGGAATTCCTTGAAGATATTCCAAGAAATATTGAACATAAGAAAGCAAAAATGCCACACAGTCTCTGTGAAAGAAGAAAAGTAAACTAAAATGAAATTTGTCATATTTACACAAAAATGGACAGTTCTGTATATACAAATTTGGAAGACTTTTGGAGTCTTATTACATTGTTCTGAGTAATGCTGAATTGATTTAAGTAATATTTTTAGCCTCCTGCATATTGGTAATATTATTAGATTTCCTTTAGAAAGTAATTGTCACAATGACAAAAATAATGTATAGTGGTTAAAAATATAATAAAACAATATAATTTGTTATCTGCCTGTTAATGGCTTGGAGGGAGAGGGAAGGAGAGAAATAATGTCCTCATATGTAATGGCAATAGCAATATAATGTGGATCTTTCCAGATGGATTACCAGGAGAATCTTCATCATGAATCTGTTACGGGCAACTGGTGTATTCAACAAACTTTTATTCTGATATCTCCTTGCTTCCTTGCTTCCTTCCTTGCTTCCTTCCTTCCTTCCTTCTTTATATATAGGATAGTCCCAATAACATTTCTATGACATGTCCAAGGTATTGTAGCCTATCTGTATGTACTGTGAGCATACACATATTAGCATGTCCATACACAAATTATTTTTTCATTATAGGGTACTCAACAACTGATGATTATTTTTAGCAGAGATATAACTGAGGAAAAAGTAAATATCCTATTGCTATTAATTGATCAGCTGCTACAAATCACTGCCTTCATATCTATTTTCTCCCTGTCTAACTCACCTTCTCCCTCTCCCTGGGGCAAAGTATGTGATCAGTATGAATCTGATTTTGGTCCAAGACAATGGTGCACAGCTGCATTTCTCAGTGACTAAAATCTGTGCCATATTAATGAGAAAAGGAATTGGGGGAAGAGGGGATCATAGTTCTATAATATAACACATGCTTTCTATCCCCCCAAAAACAAATTCAAACTCCAGCAGTTCCAGGCAAAGGTGACAGACTTGAAAATGAAATTCTGATATGCTGGTGCCAATCAGCACACGTAATATTAAACTTGATAAATCAACAGTCTGATATCTTAATACGAAATCAAAGATTTCTGTTCACTCAGTGGGGTACAAGAGTAGAAAACCTCCAAATGTTTTAGCATACCACTCCTATAATCTCAAAGCATAGGCCCAACAAATGGGAATTTATAAGAATTACATTCTAAAAAAAACTGGAAGACAGCAGATTGTTCAGCCTCCAAGTAATACACAGACCCAAAGCTTCAGAAGGATGGCATAACCAAATTGGGGAATTGAATAATTATCCAGATTAATTTCTTCTGCTTGATGAAATGTACCTGTTATTTTTTCTGTCCTTGCTCCAGAGCAAGGACGCTGTAAAATATAATTTGCATTTGTTAAGATATTGATCCCAGTTGCACCACTTAAAGCCCACAAGTTTCCCCAAATTCAATAACTATGTTTACATGCAGTAGTCAAAGAGGAAATTGCATGTGAAAGCACTTTCTAAGGAGATGGTATTTTGTTGCAATTATCCATAAGCTGTATGTTTACATGGGGTTTTTAAGGAGAATTCAAAGCATATCTCCTTTTCGTGATGCATCAACAAGCATATCAAATGAGTGTTCAAATGCTTGTTCATTTCATAAAATAAGAACCAAATGGCTGAGTAATTTCCAACCCCCAAAATTGCTAGACTAATTCTATGGTCTATTTAGAACATATTTATAAAACCTTTTAAATAATAAAAGTCTAAGCTCAGACTTTTAAAAACCTACCAGATCAGTTGGACTCACATTTCCAAACATTGTGCATTGCAGGACCATTTTACTAAATACATTTTTTTTCCACTATGGATCTGCCAGACTTTTTCTCCATTACATCCGTAACCTCTCTTGAGAGTAGGATTTATTTATTTATTTATTTATTTATGGCTTGTTGAAATAAGTTGCTTTGGGGTAGCTGTTCAACAAATACGAATAATTTGTTAGGGACACATGGCACAATAACTGCATCTTCCCTTTTGTGCAAATTATATATTTGGACATTAAGAGGCAGCCATTTGTTGTCATTGGGTAAAGAACTTTCTCTTAACAGTAGAGCTACTTCAGATTCTGTCATTATTATTTTCTGGCAAAGTGAGACATTCCCAAACAAAGTAGTAAATATTAATTAGACCAGTGGTGGGATTCAAATATGTGAACAACCAGTTCTCTGTGTGGATTCCACTTCAGGAAGTCTGTTCTGGGCCTGGGCAACAAAAAATTAGCTACCAGTTCTGCCAAAGAGGTGTGAACCAGCTGAATCCCACCATTGAATTAGGCCAATCCTCTTAACTTACTCAAATATAGGCTAGTTCCTATATTCCTAGAAAAGGCAGTCTCATAGAGTGTGAGATTTCCAAGTTAATTTTTTTATTCCAAATTTGATCTGTGTAAGGTTCCAGAGAAACCTACACCCCAAACTAAACAGAATTATAATTTCTAGACCACAATATATTTGATCTCATTCCACATCCATAGTTAAAATTGTTTGCCTCTATCCCAATTGAAGCTCATGTAGAAATAAGAGAAACATGAATCCCTCACAACTGTATCAGTTTGCAAAAGGGGTTGTAAATGATCCTGATTATATTTAGTTTGGAACGTTTCAAATTCAATCCAAGAAAGGAGTTTTTCATGCTGGAAGCCTAATTTTTTTATGTTTTTAATAATAATAATAATAATAATAATAATAATAATAATAATAATAATAATAATAATAATAATAATAAAGTTGGAAGGGACCTTGGAGGTCATCTAGTCCAATCCCCTGCTCAGGCAGGAAATCCTATACCATTTCAGACAAATGTCTTCCAGTCTCTTCTTAAAAACTTCCAGTGTTGGAGCATTCACAACTTCTGGATGCAGGTTGTTCCACTGGTTAATTGTTCTAACTGTCAGGAAGTTTCTCCTTAGTTCTAGGTTGCTTCTCTCCTTGATTAGTTTCCATCTGTTGCTTCTTGTCCTGCCTTCTGGCGCTTTGGAAAATAGCTTGACTCCCTCTTGAATAGATCTTCCCAAAACACTGGTCAGGCTATTAGGCAGCCAATGTGAAAATTGCTTGCTTGCTAATATCTTCCTCTTAGACTATTATTTCTATTAACATTTAAAAAGTGGTTGCTGTTCCTAATATGTAGAATAGTTCTGTGTGATCTTGCTATCCATTTAAACACAAATGATAAAGAATTAAAGATGATGGTGATATTCAGAATTGAAGTCCACTCCCCAAATAATAAATGGTTACAAATATATTCAGCTGAATTCCTCTGGAAGAAAAGAAGACACAGTTCTGTGGCAATAGGATATGTTGTATCCATATGTTCTCCTGATCATAACTGTTTTTCTGATGAGGATTAATCTGAAGAAGAAGAAGAAGAAGAAGAAGAAGAAGAAGAAGAAGAAGAAGAAGAAGAAGAAGAAGAAGAAGAAGAAGAAAGAGGAAGAGGAGAAGGAGGAGGAGAAGAAGAAGAAAAAGAAGAAGAAGAAAGGAGGAGGGAAGAAGAAGGAAGAAGAAAAAAGAAGAGGAAGAGGAAGAGGAAGAAGAAGAAGAAGAAGAAGAAGAAGAAGAAGAAGAAGAAGAAGAAGAAGAAGAAGAAGAAGAAGAAGAAGAAGAAGAAGAAGATGATGATGATCTTCAATAGAGAAGAAGTTTTTTTCTCTGTTGAAGAGAAAGATGTGAGTACTCTTAGTATCTCTCCTGTTTTTCCCTGGCATTTCTTTTTCTTTCCATTTTCTCAAATGCATTTTCTCTTTTTCTTCTTCATTATGCATTAGATTACTAGAGAAGACTTAGACTATTTCTCTGGGGAATGCTAGTGATTATAGACTGAATTGATTGGCTGACTGCAGATCATTTTTAAAACCAATCAGAGATTTGCAAGCAAAGTGGTTAAAGTTACATGTTTCCATTTGTTTCTACTGAAAGGATTGCCGTGGCTTCCTCGCAATTCCTCATTCCCCCATCTTCTCAAAAAGCAAACCCCATGCACTTTAACTCTCTGCAAAAAAAATGGAATTATGTTGGCATTAAATATTTACACCAGTTAATTTAAGGAAATCCACAAATGCTGATATCCTTGATAATATCAGCCTGGAAATGTAATTAGCAGCCACAAAACAGCAACAGGAAGGACAAAACAAAAACATACACAATTTTAAAACATATATTGAATTACAGTTAAAATATTGCACATATCTGGATATCTGGAAATGTGAAATGGGCTAATTCAAAACTAAAGTACCAAGAGGGTCCATTTCTTTTTAATTTAGGTTAAAATAAGTAAAAAGTCCACTTTTATAAATATAAGAATGTTGTCTTTTAACTCTTCTAATTTGGGTTCACTTAAGAAAAATTCTTAGGAGTAGGTTCAGGACTGACAAAATGAAGTACAATACTAGTTTATATGCAGTATTTATGTGTGATTTGCAATACAGGCTGTTAGCTTTAACTAGTTTTAGACAGATTGATAGAATTCTTGGAACAACTTTAAGCCAGGATAATGGAAGAATCCATTTATAAAGGCAGTAAATTAGGGAAGGACAATGGAAACCTGCTTTTTTCCACATATTGCTTTAATAGTCCTGAGTTGCTTTATATTAAGATAACAAATTATCCATGGTACCTCAACTAGAGGACTTGTAACACCAACTCCAATTAAGACACCAAACTGTGTTTGCTAGATAAAACACACCACATCGTGATAATATAAAATGGACCACAGTCTGCAGATTTAGAAATTTTGCTGCAGCGTTTTTATTTGAATACATCATCTCAAATCCTTAATATCCACATTGACCTTGACTTGCAGAAGCTGATGTAAAAATTCTCAAGATTCTGCTGAGAAAATCTGAAGATGTTATTACAAAAGTACCACCCTTTAATGTTTTAGAGCAGGGGTGTCAAACTGCTGGCCTACAGGCCGGTTGCATCATGCAGAGACCATGCCCACCCCAACTCCAGCAATGCAAAAAAAGTTGCGATACATCACAACACATCACATAACGGGGCGACTTTGACACCCATGTTTTAAAGCATGTTTTTTGCAAGCTGGGAAAAGAGGGAGGCTCTTTAGAAAAAAACCTAATAATATGTGTTCCTGTTTCAAAAGAAAAAAAAAGAAAGAAAAACAGGTGAATTAAATTCCCATTACACTTAAAATATAATGTTATTTTGTTTTTTAAACAAAATTTCTCCAAAATTGCAAGGAAGAGTGGAATTCTCACAACTGACATTTTTTAAAAATTTATACCTCTAGCACAAAA